CTACCCCTCTTTCCATAGCCTCTGACCTTTGGCTGGGACTGGCATGCAGGACAGTTTTCTGCCTCTCTCCCAGGGGCCTCTGCTTCCTATAGGAGAAGGGTTCCAGAGGCAGGCAGCACCAGAGGCAGGCATGTTTGCTGCCTGCCTCCCGGAGGCATCCCGTCATCATCTGCACTCTTGCATTATGTGATGGGCTTTCTCAGGGTTCCTGCCCTGCTCCCCACCTTTCTTATGAGCCCGCAATGGAGGCCTGTGGAAAAGATCTGGAAAATGAGTGCCCAGTGCCCTTCTGTGGGGGTTTCCAGGGATTGTAAACCCTCATGCTAACCCACATTTGCCCTTTAACGATTTGTTAACATTTTAGTTGCTTTCTTCATTCCTGCTTTTATGACTGCCACCTCTCCCTCCTGGCACTGCCAAAGGCAAAACAATCCTCTCTCTTCTTAGAGATAATAATTCTGATTGAATTACTATCTCAGAGCTCTGATGGGCTTATTAAAAAATTGTGACTTTATAGATGGTGCAGCTTCCTTTCATTGTTAGGATGGGGACAGCATTCTCCAGTGGCTATATACATTTTAAGAAGAAGCAGACTGATGTTTCCTCGCAAACTGATTTTTGATTGATTAATTTTGGTGAAATGGCCTGCTTTCTTTTCATCCTTCACTCTTTCTTTATACAAGCTATAATTTTTAAAGACATAAACTGGATGTTACCATTCTCCCATAGCTTCTCATTACAGAATAAAATACAAGTTCCTCAGTGTGGCCTACAAGTTTCTCCTTGCTCCTACAGCTTCCAGCAATCTCTCCAGCCACTCTGCCTTACTGCTTTCTCAGCTCTCGTCATACCAGCCCTCTTGCCAGTGTTCAGACGTGTCACACTGTTCCCACCCAGAGTTTTTGCCTATGTTTTCATGCTGCTTATAATGCTTCTTGCCCAGATTTTCATGGCTCACTTTCTGTCTTCATTCAGGTCTCTACTCCGATGTCATCTCTTTAGGGAGAGACCTCTGATAATTCTACCTAAAATAGCCTCATTTTCCATCCTCTCCCTGCCACTATCACTCTCTATTCTCTTTCCCTGGCTTATTTTTCTTTATAGCACTTAAAACTTCCATCATATTTTTTTTAATTTATTTACTTTCCATCTTCCCTACCAGAATGTAAATTCCATTAAGGCAGAAAATTTGCTTGTTTTGTTTATTTGTGTATCTCTAGAACACAGTGGGAACTCAATAAAAATTATTGAGGGAAATCATGAATGAATGCCAAAAATCACAACATTTTCTTCAGTATGTTGTGTTAGCTCGTTTTTATTAGAATGCACTCCTGAGGCTGTTCTCTCTCCCTTGTTCTGCCATAGTCCCATTTTGATTTTTTCATCTTTTAATCAGGTGCATCTATTTGGACTCTGCATCTCTGTATGTGACAATAACAGAGAAGTGAGGGGTTTGTCCTGGGGGCTGCTCTCTGTCCACCCTTGATTTCATCTGTCTCCTCTTTCAGACCACAGCTGGCCAACAGGTGGTCGTGTGCCCTTGCCAGTCTAATTCCTAGCAGGCTGTCATCTAGTGTGTTTCTGCCCCACTGTGGTGGGTCCTTTCCCCATTCCTAAGGCCCCCATTCCCAGGGTAGTCAGGACTAATGTATGCCTCACCAATAAGGAACCCTAAATTTCAGAGCACTGCAGTCCCCATTCTGCCTTCCTCATTGTTTTGTTGTGGCTGCTATTGCTGTTGCTATGTTTTAAGTAATTTTTTTTTTTACCATATACTGCATTCAGAAGAGATGGTGGTAGGAAAGAAGTTGGGGGGAAAGGAACTGGTCAGTGCCCTGCCTGCCTCAGGGAGCAGCACATGAAGTGGTGGATGAGTGGATGCCCACTTCTCTGTTGGTTCTAGGCCTTGTTTTCACTCTAAGGGACCCATATCTGGCAACAGAGGCAGTAACAGGACTGTGCATTTTCCTGTCTTTTATCGGATTATTATTTTTCATAAAACTGGAGTTTACTACATCTCTGGGTAGTCTGTTTGTGTTTTGTTTTCTTATCCCAGATTCAACTTTATTATAATTTATGTTCATTTATGCCTGACCCTGACATAAGGCAGATTTTTAGTAGCCTCGTGAGTTTGTATATTTTTCTGGGTTATCTGTTGTGAGGCTGCATTAGCCTCCTACACTACTATATTCTAAGTGTATGTAGAAGCTCTTATAATTAGGAAAACTCAAGTTCATTCAAAATGCTACTGAATTACAGGTAGCTTTTTGCCATTACCTGGTTTTGAATCAATAGATATTAAAATTACAACTAGTACTTCATTGTGTCCCCCAATTTTTTTTCTGATTCAAAAAATATATATACTGAAACAAGCTCTTGTAATCCAAATGGTATGTGATCATTCTTCCATAGCACTGTACCAAAGATTTTATCCTATGGGATATTGTTCAGTTTCCTATCATTAGAGATAATCTTTCCCATCTTTTAACTACTGGTTTAAGTAATGGAGATTGAAGGCATAAAGAAGTATGACTGTAAATGATCTTAATTATTCTGAAGGAAGTCTGAAGAATAAAATAATAGCTGCTTTGATTTAGTTACTCCTATATGTCATCTGAGAAAAAGTTCATTGAAACACATTTTGACAGTTTTAGTCCACTGGAACATTATTGGGAAAATGGTTCTGAGTGTTGTGAGAACGTTGACTAATTGGCTTGTTCATCCCACATGGGATTACACCACTTTCTGAATCAGAAGTTCCTGCTATTGCAACATGTCTTTTCCTTTATTTTTCTCTCTTAGAAACAATCCATTTGGGTTTGTTACGTGGCCATTTGTTAGTGTGCAGCATTGTACTTGTTTATAACTACATGAAGTCACACTAGGCCGGGCCTGGGTATATGTCACTAGGAGATCCTGCAGCTGCTCAGTGAATCAGGCAGTGCCAAGGGTCATCCTGATATTTTATACCAAAAATCCTGCTTTCCCATTGTTATGGGCAATTATTATCTTCACCATCAAAAAGAATGTTTCAACTCTGGTTTTTTACTATAGGCAATACGTAGATATCAATCTGTTGAACTCATTTCTTTTAACTTTTCACTGAAGTGTAATTTTCTCAGAGAAAATGCACAAATCCTAAGTGTATAAGAAAGGTGAACTGTCACAAACTGAGCACAGATGTGTAATCGTTACCCAAATCAGGAAACAGTACATGACCAGAACCCCAGAAGCTTTCCTGTACCCCCTACCTGTCACTAACCCTCCTCACCAAATGTAACCACTCTCCTGTATTGCTTGTTTTGTTCTTTACGTAAATGGAATTATACACGATGTGTTTTTTGTGTCTGGCTTCTTTCACTCTTCATTATGCTTATGAGATTCATCCAGATTTATCATGTATTGTGCTTGTTCATTTTTTCTGTTGTGCAGTGTTCCATTGATGAATACAACACAATTTATTCATTGTACTGTTAACAAGCATTTGAATAGTTTCCTTTTCAGAGGAGCATGGGGGTTATTATGAATACTTTATTATGAATATTCTAGTACATCTCTTTTGGTTAAAGTACACACACACACACACACACACACACACACACGTTCTTGTTGGTTAGATAGCTAGGAGTGGAATTACCAAGTCATAGGGTATGTGTATATTCAGACTTCATAGATAAGCCAGTTTTCCAGAGTGGCTGTATGTACTTACACTTACACCAGCAATGTACAAGAATTCCACTTTCTCCACCTTCTAACCAATATTTGGCATTCTGTCTTTTTCATTTTAGCCATTCTGGTGGATATGTATTGAATGTGGTTTAATTTATATTTCTTTGATAATAATGAACCCAAGTACCTTTCTGTATAATTACTAATAACTTGTGTATCTTTTTTTGTGAATTGTCAAGTCTTTTGCCCCTTTATCTATCAGTTGACTCTTTCTGTTATTGTTTCATTGTGATTCTTTATATAATCTGGATATGAGTCCTTTAATGTATATATGTATGGTGAATATTTTTCCCCATCTGTGGGTTGCCTTTTCGCTCTCTTAGTAGGGTCTTTTGATGAACAAATATTCCTAATTTTTAAAAAGTCTGATGTATTATTTTTTCTATTATGGTTTGCATTTAAAAAAAAAAAATCTTTGCCTACTCCAAGTTGACAAAGTTGTTTTATGCTTTCCTCTAAAATCTTTTAGATCTGCATTCAATCTGACTTGACATCTGTATACTGTATCACGTGATCAAGATACATTTTTTTCATACAGATATCCTATTGGCCCACCATCATTTTACTAGGCTTTTAACTTATTAGAAATGTGTCCATAAAATTTACTTCCAGTGAAATGTTTTTGTATTTTCCTAGAGAGAATTGCTAATACTTCTTGAACTTGAAAAAAATTTTAAACCTATGGTGTTTTGAAATTTATAATATAATTAATTTAAAACTAATATAAATTGAAATCACTCTTAAAGTTTCTTCCGTTTAATTAGATGTAGTTTTTTAATCCAGCTATTTATTTATTCAACATTAGAGTAATTTGTAATGCACAAAATGCAATTATTTTTTAAAAAGTAAATTTTTGTTCTCATTTTTTAACTTAAATTCAACTTAACATGTTTATAAAATGTATTCTAGAATTTGGGAAATGAGAATATGGTTGAAGTTTTGAGCTCCATTTTTATGTGATTTAGGTTGTTAAGCCATGTAGTAAAGTTATCAAACATCTATCAGTAATAAGAATTTCTTTAGTGCTCAAAATTATATTAACTAAGAGAGGTATAAGGTGAGGACTTTAACTATGACTATTAGAATGACCTCATATCCATTATAATGCCTTTATACCAAGTTTTCCACTAGTAGTGACACATACCTTTTAAGATGTAAAATAGAAAATGTAAAAGTTTCATTTTTGAATTTGGAATGCCTACTAATGCTTCCTCTCTAATATCATTTTTGCTTAGTATTATTTACTTTTTTCTCTTTATTATTTTTTCTAGGTTGTACTAGTCAGTGGACATCTGGACAGCTGGGATGTTGGGCAGGGAGCCATGGATGATGGCGGTGGAGCCTTTATATCATGGGAAGCACTCTCGCTTATTAAAGATCTTGGTAAATATTTAGAAAATTGTTAACCAATGTGTGAGGATCTCAGTGGTGACATGTTTAACTCAGTACACAGAATAATTAACAGATCAGTTACTGTGGTGTGTTCAAAGATCCTCCTCAGATCTATACATAGTTTTTTTCCATCAGTTGATTCCCAGCAAAGAACTAACGTATTTCCTTAAGGAAAGAAATTTTTATTCAAGTATACTCCAGACATCCAAAGTATCAAATATTATTATCAGCCACTGGGGAAAACGAACAAGCAAATAAAACTGAAGCAAATTTAACTATATCAGCTGGAGACTATGTAAGGAAACCATGATCAAATGCAAAGAAAAATCAGCGGCACCGCCTACTTTCTTGTCCTTATTTATCTTAAGACATTATCGGGCTGTTAGGATAATGGAGAAAGGCTGGTTATCCTTCCATGACAGAAATCAAAGAGAGTGACCCAGGACTGAAAGAATGATTTCTTAGCCACAGTAAGGAATCTAGGCTGAAAAAATGGGCCTTCAAGGTAAATCTAGATGTGGGGAAGTGGACAGGCATAAAAAGGAAGGGCTAATAGAGAAAGCAGTTTATTTTAATGATCATTTTTGCAAACTAAAATATATTTATTTCCTTTTTGTGTGTTGGTCAAAAGAGTAGATTTTGAGTGTGGTTAGAAATAGTGAAATAGGGGCCGGCCCGGTGGCGCACTGGATAGTGCGCCGCTTGGGAAGCGCGGCGGCGCTCCCGTCCGAGGGTTCGGATCCCACATACAGACTGGCTCCCGCTCACTGGCTGAGTGAGGCGCGGGGGCAACACCGAGGCTTGCAATCCCATTGCCGGTCCCCGGGCCCGGTCGGGGGGGAACCCGGGGGTTGGGGTCCCTTTCCCGGCACGGGGAAAAAAAAAAAAAAAAAAAAAAAAAAGAAATAGTGAAATAGTCTGAAGTGAGAGTTCCATGTGTGAATCAGACAGTGGTGGTTTTAAAATGCCTCATCAGCAGAATGTCTTATGTCATAACTGTGGAGTAACCTCAGTTTCAGATGTAGTAAAGATTAGAACATTCCACTGCTTATTTTTAAAAACATAAAGTGTTTAAATTCATGCTTTTCTTCCTGCTTTTAGTGCACACTTCTAATCCTGTAAATCAGCCCATTAAATAATTGTTCAACTTCTTAACAGTAAATTACTGAAACTGTCTTGTTTGGGACAAATCTTCACTGTACCATTTTGATTTATAGCTTACTTGTGTTTTAAAATAAAGACATGGAAAGGTGGTTGTGTACTTTTTTGACATCTAAATAGGTCAGTGTTTCTCAACCTTGGCACTACTGATGTTTTGGATCAGGTGATTCTTTGTTGTGAGGTCTGTCCCAGGCACAGTAGGATGTTTCATAGCACCCCCAGCCTCTACCTGCTAGATGCCAGTAGCACCCCGCCCCCAGGTTGTGGCAACCAAAAATTTCTCCTGACATTGCCAAATGTCCCTTGAGGGGAGAGGAAAACAATTGCTTCAGTCTGAAACAACTAAAATAACCTAATAAAAAATCTTTAGGGCTATTGCTACACGTGCGCTGCAGGACGGCCACAGGTGCAGAAACAAAACTGTTCCTGCTACAGCTTGGGCAGCGAAGGTCAGCGCTGACAGCAGCCGGCACCTGACAGCGTGACCAACCCGAGCCACTACATTGAAGAGACACAATGAATAAACATCAAAGAAAAGACACCAGAAACACGAAAAATCAAGAAAGTACCCCACCCAAAGATAATAAATCTCAAGCTCTAGATCCTATAGAACAAGAAGCCCTTGAAATGACTGACAAGGAATTTCGAGTGATAATTCTAAGGAAACTGAATGAGATACAAGAAAACTCAGCTAGACATCATGATGAAATGAGGAAAAGTATACAGGACCTGAAAGAGGAAATGTACAAGGAAATCAATGACCTGAAAAAAAATGTAGCAGAACTTGCCGAACTGAAGAAGTTATTCAGCGAAATAAAAAACACAATGGAGAGTTTAACCAGCAGGCTTGCAGAAGTTGAAGAGAGAACCTCTGAACTTGAAGATGGGCTGATTGAAATGACACAAGCAGACAAGAAAAAAGAGAAAAGAATCAAAGATATTGAAGAAAATCTGAGACAGACATTAGACAACCTTAAGAGCTCAAATATCCAAGTAAGTCATGGGTATTCCAGAAGGGGAGGAAAAAGGAGAATGTATTGAAAACATATTCAACAAAATAGTGGCAGAAAACT